GGCATCCTCAGCTATGTAGCAGAGTCTAGGCCACTACGGACTACCGGCTGTGAGCAAAGAGAAAAAAAGGAGGCAGGGAGTGGAGAGAGAGAAGAGAAGACTGGGAGGGAAAGGAAGGAAGGAATGAAGGAAAGACTGTAAGACAGCTTAGCATGTAACATCTCCCGCCAATGCGGTGGAAGGAGAGCTCGCCAAAAGTTGCTCTCTGATCTACACCCAGGGGGCAGGAGGGAGGGAGGGAAGAAGGCAGAAGGAGGGGGAGGAAGGGGAGGGAGGAAAAAGAAAATATAGGTGAAGGTCAGGTGTGGTGGCTCGTGCCTTTATTCCCAGCACTAGGAAGGCCCAGACAAGTGGATCTCAGTGAGTTCAAGGCCAGCCTAGTCCACAAGATGAGTTCCAGGACAGCCAGGGCTACATAGAGAAACCCTGTCTTAATAAAAGAAAAGGAAATACAGTAAAGGGACTGGGGGAGGGTTGCAGTTCAGTGGTAGAACCTTTTCCAAGCACCTGCAAGGCCCTGGGTTCCATCGAGGAACCCCTCCCAAGAAAGAGGCAAAAATAACATGGAAGATACCTAGAATCCTGCAGAGGATCCCCAGAGGAATCCCAGGAAATCACTCTGCCAGACCCTCCCTGCCAGGCAACAGCCCCACCCTGCTCTGTTTCTGACCTTTCTGGGTATCGAAGATGCTGGGCTGACCCAGCTGGCTGAGGAGGGGGCTCCCGCTGCTGGGGGGCTCCAGGTGGTTCAGGTGGAGGTAGGATGGGTACAGTCCGCTGGGCAGGTGGGAGAAGCCTAAGGAGAGAAGACAGAGAGGTCTAGACTAGTCCGTCACGCTTCCCCCCACAGGGAACTTCCTTCTAGTATTTTCTTTTCCTGGGAAAAAGAAAAACACGGTGACCAGGCAGCCCCCTGGTACAAGACGCTGAGCAGTTAACACCAGTTTCCACGGTGGCCACTGTCTCCCTCCAAGCCCTGCCACCTCAAGACTTCCTGGAGGCCCAGGGAATCCACAAGGGCTTGGGTACAAGTTCAAATACCCCAGAAAAAAACTCAGGACGGAACCAAGCAAGAGGAGTCATTATTCTCACTTGAATCTCAAAAGCAACACTCTTATCTCATTTTACAGATTAAAAGCAAAGCAAAGCAAAACAAAGAAAAATAACAACAAAAAAACAGACTCACAACGGACCACTATCTAAGAGATCAAACTGCAGCTAAACCTGGCTTTGAACTGAAGGCCCTGGACCCTACGTCCAGACAACCTCAGTAAAGTGTGGACCCTGGATGAGTGGATTTCATGGGGCCTCCCCCCTCTGCTGTGTGCCTCAGAGATTTGATTACTTGACTTCTCTGAACACAGAAGCCAAGCAGGTCTGGCTGCTCAGTCTTGCAAGGAGGACCCTTGCAAGTAAGACCTCTTGTCTCAAAACAAACAAACAAACAAACAAACAAACAAATGGGAGGTGTCCAAAGTGGTGGCTTCACACGTGCAGTCCCAGTACTTGAAAAGCAGAGGTAGGAGGATTGCTGTGAATTCAAGGTCATTCTGTTCGACTCAGTGAATTCTAAGCCAGTCAGCGCTACACAGCAAGACTTTGTCTTGAAAACACAACGGAGCAAGACAAGGCAATCCGCAACACAAATCGCAAAACCAGAACAGACGCCAGTCCACAGCACTACAGGTAAACATGAACGAGTGCTCAGCTGCACGCAGCGGGTCCCTCCACTCTCATGTACCAAGATAGGCACTGCAGTCCCTTCCCAGACTGCTGCTGCAGAGGATGGAGGGGGCCCAAGAATGCAGCCCCAGGACCAGATCACGTCAGTGGCGTGTGTTTGCTGTAGCTATCAGCAGGCCGGGAAGAACTGAGGAACGAGCTGGTGACACTGGAAAGGTGCCCTTTGCTCTTCCAGGCCCCTGCTCACCACTCACCCAGGCAGAGCTCAGTGGGAGGGACTCAGAACACCCGCCCACACAAGCAACCATCATCCCAGACCAGGGCAAACACCCAGCGGAGGGGACACAGCCCTCCCCGTGCAAGGTGTATAGACTCATTCCTGGACTCAGGTGCCTGTCCTAAGAGGCCTTAGTGGCCTCTATACAGAAAAGACCATGCTGTGACACCTAACAGGGACACTTCCGACTCTAGCCCACAACCCCAGGCTGCTGGGCACTCATTATGTCTCCAACCCCAGCAGGCAGGGAAGGGCCCAGGAAGCCTAAAGCAGACAACAGGGGTCTCCCACAACTACAGCACCCCAGACTCTAGGGGAGCTCACAAGGTCCACAAGACATAAGAGGACCCCAACCTCAACCAACCAATACCCCAAATCTACCAGAGACAGAGGTGGAGGAGATACGCCTTATATTGGTTTAATCCCTAGCTCTAGCCCCCAGAAAAGGAGCCCAGAGTATCCAGGTCTATGGCTCCCCACAATAGTCAGGGTGTGAGAAGGGGGTAAGTGTGGGGGGATTCTCATCGAATAAACACAGTTGCTGCCCTCAGAGCGCACACCACCTGGGAATAATCGCACAAGTAAACCCTGTCTTCTACAGGAAGCGGGGAGAGGAGCCAATGGCTGAAGGAGGAGCCAGTGGGCCGGGGTGAGAGGCTGCAAGCAGAGGCATAATTGGCTTGTGCAAAGGCCCTGTGGTAACAAGATGAGCACAGCGCACTAAAGGGGAAACGGGGAGGCCATGGGGAGAAAGTTGTTGAGAATGGTGCTGGGGACGTAAAATTGTCATCGTGGTTGAGACAGTGGCCCAGCAGCCCTCAGCCCCTCCCATCTGGCCCACTCCTTACCTTCATGGGCGTGGGCAGCCCACAGCTGCACCATGGGCAGGTTGCTGGGGGTGGGGGAGTGGAAGGAGAGGTCAGAGGGCAGAGATACCGGGCTTCCCTGAGAAGGGGTCGAGGGCCCCATCCCGCTGGCCACAAAGCTGCCCAAGAAGGCCTCGCCTGCAGAGAAAAGGGGAAGGGGGTCCCTGTCAGGCAGCCAGCAAAACAGGTTGTGACACCTGGACCACGAATCCTTCACTGCCAGAAATCAAAAGGCATTCATCCCTTGGCCAGCCTGGGCCATGTCCTATGGGCCCAATCACCATAGCAACCAAGGAAGACAGTGAGGTTTCCCTCAGGCCCAGCACCCCTCCATCCCCCAGAAAAGTTTTACCACTCTGGCTGCTGATGCAAGCCTGAGGCCAGTTGGGAATGGGAGTAGGGGGCCCCCAGGGACCACCCAGGTGACCCACGGAGTAAGGAAGACGATGGCCACTGGAGAAGGAGCTCATGTTCTGACCTCCGCACCGGACACTGACATCCCCAAGGAGCCCAAGGTCACCCAGGATGTACAAGTGTCTGAGGACTGCATGTGCCCACTAATGGGGAAGCTGAGGCCAAAGAGGAAAAGTCTTGGCATAGCCAAGGAGCAGCAACTGCCTGCACACCCAGCAGGACATCTCAGAGCCCACCCTGAGAGGTGTGATGTGTGGGGCCACGGCAAGGAGCAAGGCAAACAGGAAACATCAGGAATGGTGACATGCATGTATAACACCGGCACTTGTGAGCAGAGGCAGAAGGATGGCAGATTCCAAGCTAGCCTGGGCTACACAGCCAGCGCTTGCCTCAAAAAATAAAAAGTCCCGGGGCAGGAGAGATGGCTCAGCGGTTAAGAACACTGACTGCTCTTCCCAAGGACCCAGGTTCAATTCCCAGCACCCACATGGCAGCTCACAACTGTCTGAAAATCCAGTTCCAGGGGATCTGACACCTTCACATCAATGCACATAAATGCACATAAAGTTAAATAAACCATAAAGAAATTTAAAAAAAATAAAATAAAAAAAAATAAAAAGTCCTTATAAAGATGGAGCCTGTCCTGATAGTTACACCTGTCATCATCTGACAGGACTGTCGCAATTCAAGGCCAGGCTGGGCTACACAGTAAATTCCAGGTAGTCTGGCCTATAGGATGAGACTCTGTTTGAAACACCCATCCTCAGACTGGGGATGTGATGTCACATACTAGCTAGTATGCATGAGGACCTAGGCTCAATCTTCAGCATTACAAAAATAATAATAATAATCCTATTTTAAAAACAAAAATTGGGTGGGAGGCATGCATTTAACAAGAATTATATAATGATAGTTTCAGGAACAATAATAGTAAATAAGCCAGATGTTTCGTGGGCGATGTCGAGCTCTCCCCAGTACCCTGAGAGACAGGCAGTGAGCCCTGAACACATAACTAGGCCCAGCACCTTTAACAAGCACGCCCCAGGTGCCCATCCTGGCCGGTCCCCAGCAGAGGGTTCTGTATAAACACACGAAGGCCTTCTCTAGTCCCTGAGAGGTGGGCACTGTTTGCAGACAGCATAACAAGTAACATTACACTGGACACACAGACAGGATGTGTGGCTCAGACGCCAGGGGCCCCGGGTCTAAGCCACAGGGAACTCATAGTCTCCACCCATGTATGCACTTATTCCAGCTTCTGGGTCCCCAACAGCCCTCCCATGCAAGCCCTATATCCATAAAGCCCAATGACCACCTCTCAAAGGAGATAGAATTCCAAAATACACCCCATCCACTTTGGGGTAAACGCCGGAAAAGTGAGTAAGCAAAAGGCAGGGCTTTCTCGATGATTCCCCGCCGAGTCCGGACAGCAAGTAGCTAGAGATGGCATACACCCTCTGACCACATGCCTGTTACCATGGTCTGTGTCCAGCCACCGTCACTGCAGCCCAGTCCCTCTCCACCGTCCAGCACCAACTCCTGCAGCCCGGAGTCCAGCGCCAACTTCTGCAGGCCAAGGGCCCTTGTGGCTGGTCAGCATATTCATGTTGCCCGAGCCCAGAGAAGTAGGGTCTCGGGGCCCTGCCAAGCCCTAGGCTTCCTCCTTGATGTGGCAGATGGCGGGTAGAAGGCTCCGGAAGCCAGTAGCCAGGGGTTTGCGCAAAGGCTTACATCAGCCACCAGTTCTTCCTGCCCAGGCTGTGCGGAAGCACAGGGCCCGGGCCTGCCCCTGCCTGGGCTTGTGAAAGCCAGCAAGCAGCACCCAGAGAAGCGTTGGGGCCCGGATGCCACCAACGGCTCCTGTCACCATCAGGGCTTCAAGATGCCCCAACTACTGCCTCCCAGGCTGGGAGGAGGGGCATCTGGGGGGATTCCAGTGACCAGGTAAGCCACTGCATGGAGCCGCAATCTTAAAGTTGGCACAAAGTCAGGAGAGATAGCACAGGACAGTCATTAGAGCTACTCAGGAGGCTGAGGCAAGAGGAGGGAAAGTTCAAAACCACCCTGGACTAGAATAAGTCAAACCTGGTCAGGGTTGGGGGCTGGGGTGTGGCTCAGTGGGAGAGCCCCTGTCTAGAATCCCCCAGTGAGGGGCTGGGGTGTGACTCAGTGGTAGAGCACCTGCCTAGAGTCCCCCAGTGAGGGGCTGGGGTGTGACTCAGTGGTAGAGCACCTACCTAGCATGATCAAGGCACTGGGTTCCACTCACAGTACCTAAAATGTCTCCTACAGAACAGTTCCACGAGGCTCATCAGCCTCAACACCTCCCTGACATCCTCAACAAAGCCAGAAGCACAGATGGGTCTACTACGAGGTACAGGACTAGGTCCATAAACGATGTACAGCGACACAGAGAGGACCAGGGCCCAGCAGACACTGTGCTGTTGGACGTGGCAGCCACTGACCACGTGTCAGGCCTGAGCATCTGAAATGCAGCTATGGAGACTGAAGAACTCTATGGTTTTTGTTTTATTAAATCTCAATTAATTTAGATTTAATTCAGCAATGTTCTGAGCTGAAGGTTTCTCCCAGCTAGAAACTGAAGGAGTTGGATGTGGAAGGTCGGTCTCCCTGGGGAAGAACTGGGACAAAGCGGGACTCCGAGGATGAGCCGAAGTCACGTCCTAGCCTCCTAGGCTCACTCTGTGTGCGCGCTTGTGCACACATGTACACGTATTTGTGTCCATTCAACATATGCACATGTCGTCCAAGCTGCGAGTGTGGGGGCTGGGATTTGAACTCAGGTCCCCAGGCTTCACAGTAAGTACTCTTACCCCCTGAGCCATCTCCATGGCCCCCTTGTCTTTCTTTTTTCTGAAACAAGATTTCACTACGTAGCCCAAGCTGCTCTAGCCCTCACTATGCAGGCCACCTTAGCCTTCCCGAGCCCAGGACCACAGTCGTGCGCCACCACTCCCAACCCGTGGCTGTCATTCTGGCCAATCTCTAAACCGCCCCGGGCTGTGGGAAATACATAATGCATCACCACCTTCTCCCTCCAAGGCTGATGCGTGGAAAGCTTCAAGAAGCTTCTGTCTGGAACAGCATTTGGGTTCTGTCTGCCACGGGGTGCCATGAAGTACCAGCTGTTGTCACGAATGACTGGCTAATTGACTCCTCCGAGGTCAGGGTCTGAGGGGGTCCACTTGCTCTACCCACACACAATTTATTTATCCTTCCTCAGATGAGAAGTGAGTGATTCTAAGTTACTGACACGCTATCTTTGAATTGTACACTGTGTGTGTGTGTGTGTGCATGCAGATCCTGAAGCTGACCTCAGACGTCCTCCACAATCACTCTGCATCTTATTTTTTGTGACAAGGTGTCTCCCTGGACTTAGAGCTCTGACTGGGTTAGAATGGCTGGCCAGTGAGCCTGAGGGACCCTCCTATCTCAGGCTCCCCAGCACCTGGATTCTAGGCAGGAGACGCCTCTTCTGTGGTTTCACAAGGGTGCTGGGTATCAGTCAGAGCCTCACGCTCGTGACTGTCATTTTTACCAAAAGATCCAAGTTCTTAGCCCATCCAAGCACTAATCGGGCCCAAAGCTGCTTAGCTTCCAAGATCAGAATATTCAAAGTGGTATCAAAATTCCAAGCACTCAAAATATCAAAATTCCAAGCTACGACGGTGGTGCATGCCTTTAATCCCAGCACTCAGGAGGCAGAGGCGAACGGATCTCTGTGAGTTCAAAGCCAGCCTATTCTACAGAGCAAGTTCCAGGACAGCAAGGGTTACCCTTGCTGTCTCGGGGAGTGGGGAAGGGGGTTGCAAGCCCTTCACTGCCTCCAAAGCTCAGGTGTCTTTTGCCCACATGCCTCAGGGCCCTTCCCAGATCCCAGTTCACTATCCTGAAACCCTGAGGCCTAGGAACCTTGTTACTCAAATTTCAGATTAAGGAATTAAGGCTGGAAAAAATAGCTCAGCAGTTAAGAGCACTGGCTGCTCTTCCAGAGGACCTGAGTTCAATTCCCAGCATGTACAGGGTAGCTCACAACTGCCTGTTACTCCAGTTCCAGGAGATTGGACATCTTCACACAGACACACACGCAGGCAAAATACCAATATACACAAAATAAAACTAAAGAAATCATTTTTAAAAAGAAAAAAATTAAGACTCAAATCAGTAGTAGTATCGCCACTCAGGAAGCAGAGGCAGGCAATATTTGAGTTCGGGGTCAGCCTGGTCTACAGAACAGAGTTCCAGGACAGCCAGGGCTACATAAAGAAACCCTGTCTCAAAAGAGAGAGAGGAAGACAGACAGATAGACAGACAGAAAGAAAATTAAGACTCCAACCAAGGGGCTGGAGAGATGGCTCAGTGGTTAAAAGCACTGACTGCTCTTCCAGAGGACCAGAATTCAGTTCCCAGTATCCACATGGTGGCTCATAACCAACACCCTCTTCTGGCCTCTGTGGGCCCCCAGGCATTCACATGGCACAGAGACATACATGCAGGCAAAATAACACATAAAGTAACAATAAAACAATTTTGTTTTAAGGACCCATGCCTATAATCCCACTACAAAAAGTAGAAGCAGGAAGGTGTCAAATTGAAGGCTAGCCTAGGCTACAAAGTAAGTTCCAGGCTAGCCTAGGCAACTAACAGAGGGAAACAGACAGGGAGGAAACCGTGACTCATCTGAGCTGGGTGACACAGGTCAGTAACTCTCTCTACAAGGCATCTTCAAACTCAAGGTCTCGGCTACATAAAAAGACGGGGGTGATTTCTTAGTAAGTCAAGCAAGCGCCTTACAAGCATGAGGACATAAATTCAGTCTCCAGAACTCACATAAAATTGTCAAAGGCAGCCAGCTATGGTGGTGGCGCACACCTTTAACCCCAGCACTCAGGAGGTAGAGGCAGGTGGATCTCTGGGTTCGAGGCCAGCCTGGTCTACAGGAGTTCCAGGACAGCCAGGACTACACAGAGAAACCCTGTCTTGAAAAAACCACACCCACACACAGTCAGACCGGATGACACAGGTGTGTCATCCCAAGGCTAAAGGAAGTAAAGACAGGCCGACCCCTAGGGCTCAGTCAATCAGCCTAGCCTCCTCCAGGCCATTGGGAGACCCTGCTTCAAAGGAAATGAACAACTTCCTGAGGAATGACGTTCAGCTTGCACATACACAGCCAAACCTTGTCTTGAAAAACCTGTGTGTGTGTGTGTGTGTGTGCGCGTGTGTGCGCCGTGTGTGTATGGTGTGTGTATGTGTGTGTGTGTGTGTGTGTATACACACATAATTTTTTTAAAAATTAAAGAGAGATGGGCTGGAGTGAATTTGTGGAGTGTCTGAACATTATACATGAAGCCCTGGGTTCCATCCCCAGCACTTCAAGAAAGAAGCACGTCTTCAGGAGTTGGGGTTAACAAGGGGCCACCTACTCACAGCCAGGCCGAGTGCCTGCTTGGGTATCTCTGCTTCCTGTGCAAAGATTTAATGGCGTTCATAAACCTCCCAACTTTCCCGAGCCGTTTTCCTACACACCAGGCCGTGTGCCAAGCGCATACCTCACCAGCTCCTGTAACCCAGGCTCATCCCGGAAGGAGTTAGTCATGACGCGTTCAATTACAAAGGAGAAAGCGAAGAAAGCAAAGCCGCCGTGGCTTGCCCGGACCAACAGGCGCTGAAGGGGGAATTCCACACACTGTTGTTCCTTATCACACCGCCTGTGACCTCCATAGACGGTAAGGGGTACTGTCTGTCAAGGCCGGGATACAATCCTCTTGGAGAGCCGGTGGCATCCTGCCTGCGCTCTGGAGAAAATCGTAAGAAGCCTGAAGTTGACCCTATTTGTGATCTCAACCATAATCCAGGCGTGTTAGATGAAAAGAAATCCCAGAAGTAAACAAACGGGAAAGTTTTAAACCCCGTGCCATTCTGAAGAAGCCTGATGAAATCTTGCATTCTTCTGGTCTAGTCTGCCCGTAAGTGAAGCAGCAATCTTTCAAATGCATCCAAGTCGCCGTACGTGCTGCCCTTAACTCATTCACGGCCTGCGCCCCTCCAGTGTCCAAACTCGGCGCTACATTATTCCAGACGCTTCAATTTGTCAAATAAAACATCTCGCATCATTCCCAAAAGAAAGATGGGGGTGGAGAGGCCACATCTGGAATCCCAGCCCTTCAAAGGTGGAGGCAGGAGCACCCCAAGTTCTAGGTCATCAGTGACCCCATAGCTAGCACAGTTCTAGGCCAGCCTGGGCTCCATGAAACCAGCTCAGAAAAGGGGGGGAGGGGTGGCTACAACATAAGATTACACAGCAAGGTTCACCTGGGACGCCGGCAGTCTGGAGGCAGAGAGGCAGAAGGATCTCAATTTTGAAGCCAGCTTGGTATATAAAGAAAGTCCATCTTGGAAGGAAGGAAGGAAGAAAGGAAGGGAGAGAGGGAGAAAGGGAGAGAGGGAGGGAGGGAGAGAGGGAGGAAGGGAGAGAGGGAGGGAGGGAAGGGGTATTTTAGGAGAAACCACAGTCACACTACTTGTATTAAAGTGTACTTGTGGGCCAGCATGATGTCTCAGCAAGTAAAAGAATTGCCAACAAGCTCACAACCTGAGTTCAATCCCCAGCACCCAGATGGTGGCGGGGGAGGACAACTTCTCCAAGCTGCCCTCTGACCTTCACAAGGACATGAAGGCATGCCTCTGCACCCAGACGTCCACACGCAGTAAGTAAAAATGAAATCTTTTTTTTTCTGAGTGTACTTATTATAATTGTCTTCTTAAATACTCATTGTCTTAACTATGCATGTATATGTGCATGTGGGCGTGTGCACACGAGCGAGGTGTCCTCAGAGCTACGGGTGGTGGGCTGCCCAGAATCAAACTCTAGTCCTCTGCAAGAGCCGGAAATGCTCTCATCTGCTGAGCCAACTCTCCAGACCCGTTTTTATTTTTGAGACAGGGTCTCATGTAGCACAGGCTGATCCTAAACTTGCTAAGTAGTGGAAGATGACCCAGCACCTCCCGAGTGCTGGGATTTCAGGGCTGCACCACCATGCCCGATTGTCGCATTGCTGGGAAAGCCCAGAGCTTCCCGCAGGCTAGCCAAGCACCTACCCAAAGGAGCCCCATTCCAACCCTGATTCTCCTGTGCAGGAGGTCATCACTGCTTAGTTCTTAGAAGTTAAGAGTTTATCAGGGGTAGGACTATGTAAGAAAACCCAACGTGATCCCAGTACTCGGGAGGCAGAGCCAGGAGGATGTCTGAGTTCGAGACTAGTGTAGTCTACAAGAGGAAATTCCATTCTTGTGCATATTCTTGTAAAAAAAAAAAAAAGAGTAAATTCCAGGACAGTGAGAAACCCTGTCTCGAAAAACCACGAAAGAAAGGAAGGAGGGAACGGGGGAGGGAGGGAGAGAAAAGAAATAAGAAGTCCACAGTCCGTATTCAGATCGGTGCTACCTTTGTCTCTGGGTCTCAGGTGTGCACTGAGCACCCTGGAAGCCATTCATCAGAGGAGAAAACGGCTTCCCAAGGCTATACACCCG